ATCCATTAGAGATGAGACGCATTCTCATTTAAGACTGGAGGTTGTTGGCTTCCCAAGAGAGGAGGAAGCAGGCTGCTTTGCAACTTAAGAGAAGAAAAAGACTGGTTCTTTTGTGCCTCAGTTTTCTTATCTGAAAATAGGGACAATAATATTTATCTCATAGAGTTTTTGTGAAAATTGGATGAAGTATAAATGTAAGAAATTAAAGCCTTAAGTTTTTTATCTGCAAAGTAGAAATAATCATTCCTATATCTCAAGCTATTTACAGGGATTTAGTCAGATGTCACTATGTAAAGGAAAGGTACTTTGCACGTGATCTGGCCAATAATAAGCACTCAGCAGGCTTGAGTTATTGTTGCTGAGTATTTTTATTGTTATTGTTGCTGAGTATTTTTATTCCAAAAAATCTTTAACAGGATCATCAAACTGGTGGCCTTTGCCTTCTACTTGCCCTCTATTAAACCATGTTTCTTGTCCTGTATTATTAGTTTTCTATCGCTGCTATAACAAATTACCTTCCTCCATCTCCAAATCCAGCAATAGCAGTCCTTTTCATGTTGTATCTCTCTGACCTATTCTCCTGCCTTCTTCAAGATTAAGGACTCCTATAATTAGGTTGGCTCCACCCAGGATAATCTCCCCATCTCAAAAACCCTTAACCCTAATCACACCTGCAAATCCCTTTTGCCATATAAAGTAATATATTCACAGGTTCTGGGAAATAAGGTGTGGACATCTTTGGTGAGAGGGATTGCGGGATTATTCTTCCTACCATATCCTCGATAACCATGTGACACATCAAGTAATGTTTTCTGTTCCTAGAGGCTCTGTTCCTGAGAGTTCTCCCCACCCTTGGCATGCTGCTAACCAGCCTAAAGTGATTCAGCCAAAATCGATCCTCTGACCAACACGGAAAACACACATACTGATATGGTCCATGATTATTAAATATTACTGCAGTCTAAGCCCAATTGGGGATATGGGGGTGGTTTTGGTTGGAGAAAGTTGCTTGCAAAAACAACACGTGGGTTGGCATAGCAGAAAGTTCACAGACCTCGCGGAGGCAGACAGGTTTTGTGTTGAGTTCTGCCCCACCACTTGATAGCTCGTGTGACTCTGGATGCATTGCTTGAATTATCTAAGTCTATATTTTCTCATCTGTAATACGGAGCTAAAATATGCATTGCAAGGCAGTTGAGAGAACTGAATGTGCACTTAGTAAACTACTCATGCCTCTCTCTTGAAGTCTAGTCTATGGTGTCATTAGATACGTAATCATCAAATCATGAAACCATTGGTCATGAGGTCTAAGTATGACGTTCCTAATCAGGAAATCCAGGCTGGGCTTTTGATTCAGACACATCTACCTCTATTTGAATTCTGATTCTGCCATTAACTAGCTTTTTTTTTTTTTTTTAATTCAGCTATTTCCTTTATGAGATCAAAAATACTTATACAGCAAGATTGTTATCAGAAATAATAACAAAGTGAAATTCATTCTATGTTGGTGTTGGGCACTTTACACGCATTATTCCATTGTTGTATGTCTATAACAATCTTTTGAGTTTATGTCAGCATTACCTGCATTTCATAGATGAGGGAGAGGTCATCTACGGCTAAGAGGTCATCTAAGAAGTTAAGTAACATACTGAAATTTACAACTAGGAATGACAGAGTTGGGACTTAAACCCAGGTCTCTTCTCTTTCCAAAGCTTGGCATCTAACCCATATGCAGCCTTCCTACCTACCCAGGAAACTGAGTGAGACAATGAATATAGAGTCTTTACCATATCGTGGGCACTTAATAAGCATAATTTAAGTCAGGTACCCAAGTATCTCACAGCCATGTTGCCCAGCCATGAAAATGAGCTGCTTCCCTCTTCCCTGCTAGACTTCCCTGGCTGGCCTGCCTGGAGCCACCACACATTGAAATGCAGGAGGGGCAGGAGGAATGGGAGAGCCCTTGCATTATTCATGTCTAATTCTACTTGTCTAATGAACCTGTTAAAAGCACCCTGGGTAGAAAGTGTGAGTCTTAATGGCATTTTATAAAAGTTGCTGTGATAAATTAGCACATAAGGCAAATTAAAAACAGCTTATTGCTTTTTAAATTAGGTGATGGTGTACTGTAGCATTTTCCCCAGACCTGAGGATCCACTATTATCCAAAGGAGCCAGAAGCTGCCAAAATGTGTTTTTAGGAACCTGATAAGTCTGACTCAATGTGAACCTAAAGGGGAAGATTGTCCAAGATAAATAGCACCCATAGAAAGAGTGCGTCACTGAACCCCTCTTCCTCTAGGACACCAACTACTAAAGGCAGGAGGAGGAAATGTCCCATCAAAGATTATTAGGAATAGAATAGAATGGAGCGCAGGAAAATAAATGTCTGACCTGGTGGAGACCTCTGGGAACAGTCTCTGCTCCCCTCCCCTTACACATGGGACGCTAAGACTTTTGAAGGCCATCTGAGACATTTCCACAGACCTGCATTGAGGATCTACTTAGTGCTGGTGTTGTGCTGGGTCCTGAGGATAGAGTGGTGTTTTAGATGTCTGTATATATAGTCCACATGCAAGACAGCTGTACTAAGTGGCACAATTGGGACCCAGATCCTGTGATTCAAAGCCCAGAATAACAATTATAATAGTAATAATAGCTAACATTTATTGAGCACTCACAAGCCAGGCTGGTGTTGCTTTACATATATGATTTTATTTAATACTCACCACAACTCTTTGAGGTAGCTGCTGTTATTACTATGCCTGTTTTACAGTTAAGAAAACTTGAAGAGAAGTTAATTAACTCGTTCAAGATTACACAGTTAAAAAACTGCAAACCAATATCACCCCCAATAAATTTAATAATTAATTAATTAATTAAAAAGCTGCAAACCCAGGCAGTCTGATCCTAAAGCCTGCTTTCTTGATGACCACCTGTCAGCTTTCCTGATGGCTTTTCTATCTCGGCTTCCCACACTTTACATCCAGAAGGAGTCTGGAGCCAAACCAGAGATGCAGGTACTTTTAGGATCAGAAATATTGGGACAAGAACCGAATGGTAAGGGAACTTGGGGTGGGGGAGGTGAAGGGAAGATTAAAAGCTCCTGATGCTGCTAAGTTGTGAACACAGCCAGAGGTACTGTTATCATTGTTGTCATCATCACTATGTTATATATGATGGAACTGAGGCCTTAGAAAGGGTCCCAACTGTGCCACTTAGTACAGCTGTCTTGCATGTGGACTATATATGCAGACATCTAAAACACCACTCTATTCTCAGGACCCAGCACAACACCAGCACTAAGCAGCTTGCCTGTGTAACCAGCTATACGGCTAGTATGAAGCCATAGCACCAGGACATGCCCCCAACAGTGTGGCCCCTGAGTCTGTGTTCTTAACCACTGTACTGCAATCTGCTACACTACACCTACCAGGGTCTGGGTGCTTCATATGTGTTATTTTATTAATGCTCACAGCAGCAGCTTGCGAATATAGCTATTGGACTAATTTTGCATTAAAAAACCTATATCTCAGGAATGTTAGTTAATTTATGTCATATCAACCAGCCAGAGGGTGACAGCTTCAGGAGTGGGTCTCTGCCCTGTCCTAGCCCCCTTGTCCTGGCTGGGACTTTGTTGAAGCCTTTGGTAGGGAACATGCAGATGATCAAGGTAAAAACGAGTCATTCTGGGAGCTTGAACTGAGAAACTCTCCCCATATTTCATTACTTGGGGACAGAGCAAATGGAAGAAGGGGCTGTGTTACAAGTAATTCAACTTTTCCTGCAGTATTTGAGAGCTCTAGATGCTATCTTCAGCTCTTTTTGATTGCCATGACAGCAGATGCAACATTTCTTTCATAAGGAAAAAAAAAAGAAGAAGAAAGGAACAGAAGCATACTTGGTCCTCAGTGATATTAGAAAAATCTGTTTCCCGGATCTAGCTAGTTTGTCTTTCATGGTGGTTACACTCTAGGGAAATTCTTAGAATAGTATCAAAGAAGAATCAACAGGGAGGAGGCAAAATTCACTTCCCCAGAGAAATCGTATGCTCTATATTTGTGGTGGTGATTTGTGAGAGTAGGGGATACAGGAGGAAATGGACAATACAGAACTTGAGACAAATTGTCAGCTCTTTAAGGCAACAGCTAGTTACTAAGGTCTCAGCCATCATTTTAGTTCTGCTTCAAACTCCCTCACCCCACCAGTTATACATATTACAGTTTGTTGGGCTTTGCAAAGGCTCAGCAAATGCTCTTTAGTGGGGAAAACATGATACATAAAGCAAGAGTTACGATTCATAATGATAAACGTAATAACGAGGTAAGCAAAAAGATCGATCTTGTTCACATCATTTTGATCTCTATATATACACACACACATAAACATAGGTGTATATATTTTCATTATTGCATTTTGAGCATTTATTCATGTCGCTATATCGACCTCTGCAAACATCCAGTTTCAGCGATGTTCCAATATTCCAGTGAGTGGAAGGATCACAGTCCCCTGTGAGTGGACATTTGAGTTGTTACCGTTTTTCCCTATTATAAAGGAAAGAATTCTATTGATACATTTGAGAGGATTTGTTCATAACACAAATGTTTTCTTCAGAAAGATGCTTGTGTTTCTCTTTGTTATCCCCTTCCTTTTAGTTATTTTAAAAATTTATTGTAGTGGGAATGGGGAAAAAATCTCAATTAGGTACTAAACTGCCTTTACCATCTATTATCACCTTGTCACAAATGATGGTCTCCAAGGAAAGTGCCCCAGTTTTAGGGGTCGATAGGCTTCCCTTGCAATCTCCTGGGGGAAGCAAAACTAACCTCAATTTGTGACCAAGGCAGTATGAATATGGACTGAGATTTGGGAGTTAGTTCTGGGAATTGGTATCAAATGGATGATGGGTTCTCAGGGCAACAGTGAATAATCAACACCATGAATCCTAAATCTGTGCTGCCAGAGATTCCTAACAATGTCCCCTCTTATCATTTCCTCCAGAGCCATGTTTGACTATGACAAGAGCAAGGACAGTGGGCTGCCGAGTCAAGGACTTAGTTTTAAATATGGAGATATTCTCCATGTTATCAATGCCTCTGATGACGAGTGGTGGCAAGCCAGGAGAGTCACCCTGGAGGGAGACAGTGAGGAGATGGGGGTCATCCCCAGCAAACGGAGGTAAGAATGTCTTTTCTATTCAGAGCATTTGCTTTTCAGCTATCCAGGGAGTAGAGATGAGGAAAGATAAAGATGTGGCAAACTGTTCACAAAATATCTATTTTAGCAGGATAGTCAATCTGCAGGGAAATTGTCAGTGATAACAGGTGACATGAATTAAATATTCTCACTCCCCTTATATTAGGGTTTTACCAGGACTGGTGTCTGTGATAAGGCATAAAGGAAGAAAGAGGATCTGCTTATACTGTCTTCCTGAAACTTTTACCAGTATTCACATGTTCAAGACTATGACTATCATCTTGTATGCTGACTTACAAACTCAGAGGACTTATTTCAAAGGTTTAAAATTTACTAGATAATTTTATAGAAAGGCCAGGTAAAAGCCCAATAAAGTCTACATACAACGCTAAGGCCCTGGCTATGCATTACTTCCAAATACTGATGGAAAAAAACTAAAAACCTCCATTCCAAATTCAGATACCTGGGACAAGAGCTCTGAACATCTGGTGAGGTCAAAAGACTGGTTTTATAACTGTTTTTTCACTCTTTTAGTAACTTCTGTTCCTCACCCCACCCCACAATGCCCCACCTCCACTCAGATATTTAGTTCAATATGTCTCCTAAGTCAAAAATATTATACTCTTGCGTCTAAACGTTTCTTCAATTCTGCTTTTGAAAGGCAGGAATATACTTGAAAACAGCCAGCTCCTTCATCTGCCCCGGCAGCTTCTATTCATCACCACCAGAAAGGAAACTCCCTTCCCATGAATGTTTGTTTTGTTTTGTTTTGTTTCGTTTTTTTGCACTAAGATCTTATCTAAGAAACAAATTATCCTCACCCTAGAAAAGAGATGTGATACGAAATCAAAGTCAGGAAAAATGCTTGTTCAACGCAGTCACCAACTTTTCTCGAGCTGCAGGTTTCACAAAGGGCTCTCTTCACATCCAAACACCCCAAACCTTTGTAAAAAAATTCTCAGCGAAGTTGAGTATTCAAGTGCTGCCACACACAAAGTGATTCAGTGACGGAACTAGCACAAACTATAGTGGCAAGATATAAGAATAACTCTGTGGGACATTTACACCCCCAAGAAGATTGATCTCCCATCTCTCTTCAGCTGTGACCACATAGCCTGGAGAGGAATGTGGGGGGAGGGCAGCAGGCCAACTGACTGTTACACAGCTGCTTTAGTGGGGAGGAGTGACAGGGAAGCAACTGGAGCCCCAGGGAACCTCCCCACTTCCTATGCCCATGCGTATGAAATTTCCACCGGCACAGTTTTCTGGGTCTCTTTATACCTCTGGGCTACTGCGTAATTGCCTGACATTGCTTTGAGAGGACATTCTGTGTTTGTACCATGGCTTATTGTGTTTTCTGAAAGATTATGTATTCAAAGCAGTTTCTCTCAGCTCTAGTTTATATTCTATATTTCTCCATTTCCATTTACTTCAAAAAAAAATGTCAAGGCAACATGCATTTTCGTTTGCTTTGATTTAATTAATCAGAGCTGTCTGAGGGGCTGCTCTGTAGGAAAAGGAGCCATCTTTTTGAATAGGGCCCCTAGGATGAAATGGGGTGGTAGAAGGAAAGCTATGTGGGAATAGATTCAGCTCATTTTAAAGAAACTTTTTTACTAGTCGGAGCTGCCTACAGATGGTATGGATTACCTGGGAATATGGTGAACTAAATGGTTTTCACACCAAAAAAACATTGTAAAAACCTAAATATGCCCACTTCCTCCCTTCTGCAACCCCTCCCACACTAAGATTCTAATTCAGTCCATCTGGAGTGGATCCTGAAAACTTGTATTTTTTTGTAAATTTCTCCAGGTGATTCTGATAATAGAAGATCCAGTGTTGAGTAAAATTTAAAAAGGGATTCAAGATCTGGATGGTGGTATTAAACTATGTGCTTTTCAGGCTCTTCTCAGCCCTGACGTTCTGTGGTTCTAACCAATCTTTTCAATAGTCCTCATGTGTTCTGCTACACAATCATTTCCCCCAACAAGGAACATTCTCAAATGTGGTAATCCTCTTGTAATTTTCCACCTGCTGGTGGTCATTCTTAAGATGGCTGTCTCTCCTATTTTGGATGAAAACCATTTTAACAACCATACTACAGCTGGCCTGAGAAAGAAGTTTGTCTAATGAGTCTAATATTGATATTTATTTAGGGTGTAGTAGTTCCCCCCTCTGCGTGTGTGCGTGTGGCTATAAATAAATTTCCCTCAAATTTTCTTCTTAGAATTTCAATTCTTTCCAAAAATGTGACAATTAGTTTTATATGTTTATAAAAGTAACACAATCCATTGCAGAAAAGTGGAAAATTTAGGAAAGCATAAAGAAAAAAAAATCACTTAAAATCACATCCCACAAAGAGCTTTTTGCACTTATCTTATTGCAATTTAAAATCTGTCATGAGCCTCCCCTGGGCCTCTTGAATGCTTTACTTCTAAACGAGGCGTCCTCATTTCACCCTGCATTCAGCTTCCTAAACTATAGCTCAGAATAAATGAAAGCTAGTACAAATATGATTTACTATTAGATCGTGGGTATTTTTTCACTTCTTAATTCCTCTCTAGCTCCTTTTCTGAGTACAGTTCTGCTAGTAGAGCTCATCTGGAAAAATCTCATAATGGATAGCGTCAGTGTGTGACATTACCTTTCACAAAAACGTTTTTCTTTTGTGATTCTATTCAATCATCCCAATGAAACCAAGATGGAGGGTATGAAAATTGCCTTCCCCTCCTTTTTTGAAGATGATAAATAAATTTTATTTACCAAAATACTCCTAGGACATGGAAGACACATTTCTAAGCCCTTTACAATTAACTTATTAAAACCTCATCACAACCCTATAAGGGTGATACTATTATTATTCCCATTTTATAAATCAAGAGGTTGAGGAATAGAGAGGCTAAATAACTTGCTTGAAACTGCCCAGCTAGTAAGTGGCAAAACTGAGATTCGAATCCAAGACTGCAGAATTGATGCTCTTAATTCACATGCAATCCTAACTCCCAACATTACAAAAATAAGACCTGACAAAATTTAATTCAGCAGGCATTGCTTGAACAGCACCTGTGTGCCAAGTGGTGTCATCAAGTCACTGTCTGGAGCCCAACATTTATGGGACCAACATGTAACTGTGGCGCAGCTACACTGTGATTAGAACAATGAGGGCTGTAGTGTACATAAGGTACTGTCCCACTCTGCTATAACATAACAGTATATCACAGACTAGGTGGCTTAAACAATAAACATTTATTTCTCACAATTCTGGAGGCTGGGGAGCCCAAATTCGAGGTGCTGGCTAAATGGGTTCCCAGTGAGGGCCCTCTTCCTGGTTGGCAGATGGCCTTCTTGCTATATCCTCACATAGCTAAGAAAGATTGTTTTTTCTCATTTCTTCTTAAAAGGCTCTAATCAAATTTATAATGGCTCCACCCTCTGACTTAATTATCTCCAAAGGCCCCACCTCCAGTACCATCACATTGGAGATTAGGGCTTTAACTGATTAATGTTGGGGAGGAGGGCACACAAATGTTCAGTCCACACTAGATATCAAGAGAAGTAAAAGTGGAGAGAGAGGGGGGAAAAAAATTAAAATCATTTCTCCAATTAATTAATTAATTAATTAAATTTAATTAATTAAAGAGAGAAGTAAAAGGGAAGCAGACAGAGATGAATTTCATCTGTTGATAGCATTGATTATTGTGCCAGGTGCTTTCAAATACATGATTTTATTTAATCTTCACGAAAGCATCATAAAGAAACTGAGAGTCAGAGAAGTCAAGTTATAAGTCACTTGCCCAAGGATGCACAGCCAGCCACTAGCTGAACCCAGGTCTCTCGAGTAACAAGACCAGATGGCTTTACACTACACCAAGAGTCTACTAGGAGCCTTATTGTAGATCAGAAACTGTGCCAAATAACTTTCTTGTATTATCTCATTTAATACTCACCATAATTTTTGAAATCTGTGTTCATATTCTAATTTTACCAACGTGAAACCTGTGATCCTAAGAGGTTGAATGACCTGCCCAAGTCACAGAGCTAGTAAGCAGTAGATGCAGAATTCAAACCCAGGCTTGTGTGATTTCAAAACCTGGGCTCTCAGCATAGAATCATTGTTTTCTGAGACTACGTAGTTTATGAGTGGCCAAGCTAGGATTTTTTCCACAGTCTCTTAATCCAAGTATCTATTGCCCCACATTGACTGGCCACCTGGGCTCTCAGATGACAGCTAACAGCTGGCATTGCATAATGGTTTACTCACCTAGTCTTTTCAGCGAGCCTGTGGCCAGTAACATGGATGGCATTTCAACTCTCCCGGCAACAAGGCCTTGGAGCACAGGCAAAGGAACATCTAGCACCAAATGGTGTTCCCACCAACCACTGCTCAAAGCCTGACGTCATTTTGTGTTTGGCCAGAACCTGAAATGCCAGATGGGAATTGGGTGAGAGGGCAGTGGGAGACAGTTGGGCTCATTAAAGCGTAACCATTTGGTACTCTCTGGAGATGCTAGGTGTCAGAACTGATTGCTCAAATTTTGCTGTCCTGTTTACATTTTCAGTATTTTGGTCAGTGACCAAACTAGGGTGGAGAGGATTATTTCTGCTTAAACAATCTAATTAATTGTTTGCCTCTCTTGAGTGTGAGAGAAATACGGCAGTCCTTCTCATTGTGATTCAGTCTTTCTATACAGGTGGTCCACTGTTTCCTTAGGTAAAGGTCTATGGACCTTAATATCATCTATTTCTGCCAGAGAAGTCCTACTTAGTAAAATAATTACAGAAGGTGATGTGAAATTTACCAAGTAAAAAAGTATTGAAATGGTAAATAACTTTTAATCAGAAACACTGGTTGTTTGTAAACTCTCTGAGCCTTAGTTTTACATTCAGGTCAAGAACTAGTAGCCTCCTTAAGGGCTTATTCATTCATTCATTCATTTATTCATTCATTCAACAAAGATTCTTTAAGCATTTACTATATGCCCATCTCCATTTTAAGCCCTGGATCACTGCACAGATTATAGATAATATAGATAAAGTGCTTAGCACATCTAATACTTTTGTGCATACTCAAATGATGGATATTTGCCTATCTTTAGATTTTGAGCTTTTGGTGCTCAAAAAAACACAGCATTATTTAGGGTCTTATTCCCCAGCCCCAATTTCCATTTCAGCAATAAGCTATCCACATGCATCCCAAGAAGTGGTAGGAGAAAGAATGGGGCTGAGGCAAATGAGGAAGAAAAGATGAGCCATAACCACAGCTATGAAAGAGAGGGGTTTGCCGAGAACTCCAAAAGTCAATCAATGTGGGTCTCTGTGATGGGAAAGCTAGACTACAGTGGGATTTCAATGAATGTGAAAAGACCGCTGAGGGGAGAAATCAATTCAGTACTTGTGATGTCATGTTGCAACTAGGTATTTAGCCAACATGAATTTCAGTGTTAAAAGCAAATTTATTCCGAATGTTGAGACCAGCCTGTTAAGGTATGGTATTATCTCAGTGACTGTATGCTTGAATTTAATGGTTTATTTAATCAAAGAAACTTGGGACATAAGGATGCAAGGGAGGTGAGTGGTTATCATTTGTGAAAAACTCAGCCCGTACTTCTAAGGAACTGTACCTGCCTTAAAACTGTGTATGACCCATCCAAAAATCTCACTTTTTTCGAGAATTCCCATTAGGTAAGGGAGGCATAGAAGGTCCTTGAATGCTGTTTCTCAAACTGACTGTATATGGAAAGAGACAAAAGTTAGCTGTTAGCAAATACATGTTCAGGCCCTATTTCTATCAATTTCTAATTGCACGAACTTCAAGTCAACTTTCCCAACCATTAAACAGGGCTGACAATACCTATATCAGTTTGTTATTGTGGGGAGCAGATGAGATGATGTATATGTGAAGGAATTTTTAATTAATAAGTATATGTTAAAGCTTCAGCACCACTTATCATTATTAATGAGACTAAACCCAAGTAGAAAGCAAGGCTTTTCAACTTCTTTCGTTAATAAGTATATGTTAAAGCTTCAGCACCACTTATATTATCATCATTATCATTATTAATGAGACTTTAAACCCAAATAGAAAGCAAGGCTTTTCAACTTCGTTCATGAGTGAACCAAAACCATGTCACCTATACAGTAAGGCTTTCAAAGTTGTTGTTTATTTATTATATTGCCTGTTCGAAGATTAATAACACACCATAGCAAATATTAGGTGTGTGTACCTGTGCTTGTGTGTATGTCTATCTGTTTGTCTGTCTGTCTTCTCATCCATCTGGCAATATTCTTTGCAACGCCTTTAAGAGTTAAGAGATGGACCACTAAAAAATGGCCTAATAGGAACATGTCCTAAGAAATCTGAAAAGAATGAACTTAGGAACCAGGAGGAAAAAGTTAGAATGCTATGGCCAAACTATTCTTACAATAGAATACTGAGTAGAGCCTAATATTACACTTGTTTGGAGTCCTTATGAGTTCTATGGGTTTATGCAGAATTTATTTGTATAGCCTAACCAAATAACCATGAATCCTCTATATGCTGCAATCATTTTGGCAACATCTATTAAACTAGTGTTTTCCATAATTAGTCTGGTTAATGCAAAAAAGCCTAGATAAAGTTGGGGCTATAACAGCAGTTTTAGAAAAATCCAAATTGATGAATATGAATTAACATTTGCACTTGGATTAAAACTGAGAAAAGCTGAAGGAGCTCGGAGCAAGCATTTTCTCAGTGAGCATCTTTCCACTTGGCAGCTTACCTTATCTGAAATCTTCCTTGCTCTCCTCCCAACTGTTGTATGTTGGGTGAAAGTAGAAACTCTCAGTGGAACATATTGCTTTAATATCTGAAGTTAGATTTGAAAAATTCTGTTCAGCTGTTTCCACTCAAATATTCTACTCTCATATTGAAATAAATATATTCTGAAACTCCATTCTGTAACTATAGAAACCCTGATTCTTACTGTGTTTCAGCTGGAAACACAAAAGAGCTCTCAGTTAAAAAGAAGTATACTGTTAATTATTGATCTATGAATAGCTTAGATTTCATAAACCATTAAGTTTCTGTGGTTTTTGTTTTTTCCTCTCTTTTCTTTCCCCATTTCTGAATGAGAGCTAGCCATATTTAAATCAAAAAGTCATGTTAAAACAATGCAATGAATATTATTTCAGTTCAATAGTTATTTATTGAGGACTTGATATAAGGCTTGCCCTCAAGGAACATACAGGCTTGCAAGTGTAATGCAAAGTAAACGAACACAAGGGAACAAGAGATAATATAGACATAGAGATACAAATAAGTTCTATTGTGGCATAAAAGAAGAAATGGTCATATCTCACAAGAGAGGCTCAAAAAACAATCAGATATTTAAATTTCTCTCTTCCTCTTTTTCTACCTTAGCCTTCAAACAGACACAAGTCCTACCAATTTTATTTTACTAATATTTGTCAAGCCCTTCTCTCTTCTCCACCTCGTTATCATTTCTCATCATTTCTTGCCTGGATCATGGCAATAGCTTCTACATAGGCCTCCTGCTTTCCGCTCTCTCTTTCCTCCTCCAGTCTATCTTTCTCCTTCACCAGGGTCAGTTATTTAAAATGCTAATCTATCCTATCACTTCTGTTTTATACCTTCTAATAATTCATGAGGATATTTCAAGGAAAAAATCCAAGTCCTTAGTGTGGATGGACACCTTTGCAAGGAGACCCCACCATCTCTCCGGCTTCACATACTCATCCTGTATATACCCTGTACCAGAATCTTCCTCCAGTTCTTAGCTTTCTTATATCCTCAGGGCATGGTACATGTTTTTCCTCCTATCAGAGAAACTCTTTCTGAACTTTTCCTACTGACAAGCTCTTTCTAATCCTTCAAGTCTCACATAAATTGACACTTCCCCCAAGAAGCCCATCCCAATGATTTCTACCCCTCTTCACCCTTCAATGAGATAGATGCTCCCACTTTGCTGTCAATAGTCTTACTGTGCAGCACGATCAGTCTTTGTTTATGTTTATTGCAGTCATGCTTTTAAAATGATTTTTGTTTGTTCCCCAGCCCCTCAATAAGTGCTTGATGAAAGCTGCAGAATGACAGGAAAACATTGGGTAAATGGAAAAATTCAAGACTATCTATAACATGTTTGGTTTTAAGGTGAGGGTAGTAAATTCTGTAGTGTTCTTAAAAGAAAAAGAAGAAAAGGGAAACAAAAAGAAAAGGAGAAGAGAAAAGTTTACTTAATCTCCATTTTATACATTCTTCTCTATGGGCTGTAATTTCTTGAAATAGATTTTGATTGATTTATTCAGGCATTTAAATAACAAATATTGGGTTTTCTCCTTTGTTTCAATTACTGTGACTCTCAGTACATATAACACAGAAATATCAAGGGATGTGTTAGAAGCTTAAATACATTACACCAAGACTTTTTATACTGAACAAAGGAACAGAAATATTTTAAAACACATTGTATTTGAGCCATATAAGAAATGTTCTTCATTTAATAAGGAACTTGATCATAAATGACTGTCTGTGTAAAAGAGTCTTTATTTTCAATTTTCTTTAGGGTGGAAAGAAAGGAACGTGCCCGATTGAAGACAGTGAAGTTTAATGCAAAACCTGGAGTGATTGATTCAAAAGGGGTAGGTACAAAATAATTGAAACATTAAATTCTCTCGGTTGCCATGGATTTAACTATAATTAACATTTAGGCTTTCAGTAGCAAAGAAATTATAAAGCTACCAGATAGTACAGCGCTGTTAGAAATGTATTGCTAAAAGTAATGATGTGATTTCTGATGAAGCGGATTTATGGTAAACATATTAAATCCTGGGAGCAGAGCTGCTAGTGGTCAGCAGAAATTATATGTTGCTTAAAGTGATATAATGACTACCATGAAGAAAGAAAAATATAATTTAAGTGCTTTAATTTTCTAAATTTTTATTTTAAATTAAATGTTCTAAAAGGATGGATTTCATAAAAAATAGCTGCTCATCATAAAATATGTCTAGCCTGTTACACATTATAAAGCTAGGATAGTGGTCATGGAAATATACACATGGATCATCTAAATGAATAAAGTGAATACGTGGATTGTTGTGACAGACATAGAAAAGAAGAGAATTAACAAATGAAATTTGATCACTAAAATTAAAATATTTACTCATATGCACATGTATCTTTTTGTAAATAACAGCTTTAATGAGATATAATTTACATTATACCATACAATTCACCAATTTAAGGATGCTATCCAGAGGTTTTTAGGCTATTTGGAGTTATGCAACCATCACTACAATCAGTTTTAGAACACTCCATCACCCCATTAAGAAATCCTGTAGCAGACATTTTCCATTCCGTCCAACCCACTCCAACCCCATCTCATCCAATCCTAGGCAGCTACTAATCGACTTTGTCTCTATAGATTTGCCTATTCTGGATATTTTATATAGATGGAATTATACACTATGTGGTCTTTTGTGACTGCTTCTTTCACTTACCATAATGTTCTCAAAGTTGTAGCATGTATATGTACTTTATTTTTTTCACTGCCAAATAATATTCCATCATCTGAATATACCTTATTTATCTATTCTGGTAGATGGACATTTAAGGTTTTTTTCCACTTTTTGCCTATTGTGGATAATGCTGCTATGAACATTTGTGTACAAATTTTCACATAGACATATACTTATTTGGGGGAGAGAATATCTGGGAGTGGAATCGCTGGGTCATATAATAACTCCATGTTTAACATTTGAGGAGCTGCTGAACTGTTTTCCAAGGTGGTTGTACCATCATTTTAAATTTCTACCATCAGCATGTGAGAGTTGCAATTTCTCCACATCTTCACCAATGTCTGTTATATGTCTTTCTGCTTATAGCCAGCATATTTGTTTTGAAGTGGTTTCTCATTGTGATTTTGATCTGCACTTCTCTAATGACTATTTGTGTTGAGCATCTTTCTCTGTGCTTATTGTCCATTTGTATATCTTCTTTGGAGAAATGTCTATTCATATCCTTTGCCCATTTTTAAATTGTGTTTTTTGATTTTTTTTGTTTTGTTTTGTTTTTTTTGTCGTGTAGTAGAGTTTCTTTATATATTCTGAATATTAATCTCTTATCAAATAAATGCTTTTAAAATATTTTCTCCCATTCTGTGAATTCTGTCTTTCTACTCTCTGAATAGTGTCCTGTTATGCATGAAAGTTTTTAATTTCAATGAAGTTCAATTTATCTATTTTTTCTTTTGTTATTTTCATTTGGGTATCATATCTAAAAAACCATTGCCAAATCCAGCGTCATGAAAACTTATGTTTATATTTTCTTCTAAGAGTTTTGTAATTTTAGCTTTTACATTCAGGTGCTTGATGTATTTTGAGTTAATGTTTTATATGATATGAAGTAGGGTTCCAATTTTATTCTTTTCCATGAGAATTGTCCTCTTTATTTTTGGATTGTTCATTGCAAGTGTATAGAAATATAATTATTTGGTATATCTATCTTACAATCAGCTACCTTGCTGAACTCATTTATTCTAATAGTTTTTTTTCATGCGTTTCTCAAAATTTTTTATATACAAGATCATGTCATATGTAATAAGAGAGAGCTTTAACTAATTTCTTTCCAATCTGGATGACTTTAATTTCTTTCTCACACCTAATTGCCCTGGCTAGAATTTCCAGTACAATGTTGGAGAGAAGTGGCAAGGACGGCCATTCTTGCCTTGTTCCTGACCTTAACAGGGAAGCATTTAATCTTTTACCATTAAGTATGGTGTTAGCTGTGGGTTGTACAGCTTTTTAAACCTATTTTTAAATGACAATAACTAGTATCTTATGGCTATATTGTAAAATACCTTTCCCCATCCCTCCTCTCTTTCCATTCTCCTTCTGTTCTTCTCCTTTCCTTTACTTTTTTTTGTCCTAACAATCCTGGCTTGTGAACACCAAACAGAACTCCAAGTTACAGTGAAGATGCCACCATGAAAAACAAGAAGAATAACTGTCATTTCTCAGGGTTTTTGAGCCTCAAACCACAACACTGCCCTTTGTATTTTTAAGTAGACATGTCACTGGGTAGCCCATTCACTGACATAATAATTTACTGTCCCCTAAAACATTGAGATGAAATTGGAATTTATTTAAACATATGGTGTCACTCTAAAAAAAGTGAGGGTATGTGTCGTCATGTGTGAGTCCTTTTAAACAAATAGTGCTTATGTATAATGGGGTAGGATTTTTCAATGATTCTTGGTGAAAATGTAAGGATAGATCTCCTCTTTGTTTCATATATGTAGATGGATACATATCAGAGAATTTTTGTTAAATATCTACCACATGCCAAACATAGACCTATAGACCATAGAACTTTGAAAGATAGAAAATACAACATAGGTTCTCCTCCTCCAGAGCTTATAACATCAATGAGAGCCCAGATGTCTTTCTGATAAGACCAAAACTTGTGTATTATACTTTTTAAACATATTGTTAAATACTATTAGGTATGTGCCAATGCATAGAATATAAATTCTAAGACTCAAATGAGTATTGAAAGAGAAGCCGTGATCACATGGAAAGAGAAGGCCTGGGCTGAATTTCAGGAGGGTAAGTAACCTGGGTTCTGGTTTCAGTTCATAAGTAAGTCAGCACTGCTCTTTTGGCCTTGTTAGCAAAACAACAGCTTTGAACTACATGAAGAATGTCAGACAAATTTTATCTTCTATGTAGACTGAAGCATTAATAATTTCTACCTGGAATTTTGTATTGAAAATAATTCTGAAGCCATATATGAC